GTGGGGTTGTTAACCAATGTCATAAAACAATATGTGTACTGACTGTTTAATGAGAAACTATTTGTTCTGTAAACCTTCACCTAAAGCACAATAAAAAAAAAAAAAGAAAAGATTTAGCCGATAGTTGACCTTCTGTTCTTCTCCCTCCTCTTCTCTTTATAAACCTCCTCGTAATTTGTTTATTTTTGTTGTAGGGAAAAAACATTGCAAAGTTTAGTAAAGCAAAAAGAAAAGTTTTATTCGGTATCTATTCAAAGAGGCAAAAGTAAAAAGCAGACAAGCACGCTGCTAGAGCCATGCCTTTGTTATCTACTGTGCTGTAACAGAAATAACCACAAGCGGGTGGCTTTAACAAGCAGAAATTTATTTTTTCGAAGTTTAGGAGGACAGAAGTTTGAATTCAGGGTGCTGGCTCTATGGGAAGGTCCTTGTCTCCTTTCAACATCCGTGGGCCTGGCGTTCCTTGGAGCTCTCCACGTCTTGGCATCAATCTTCCTCTGGGTCTAGGAGGTTCTCAGCACTGCGACCCCGGGCCCAAAGAATGCTTTCTGCTCTGGCTGTTCTTTTTTGGTAGTTGTGAGGTCTCTCTTTTCTCTGCTTCTCTCTCCTCTTATGTCTTGTAAGATAAAAGGTGTGACTCCAGCAAGGGTGTGAGTTAAGTAACGGTTTGACTTAAGTAAAACTGTGACTCAAGATACACCCGACACTGATCCTGCCTCATTACCATATAGAGGTTAGGGTTTACAACACATCACAAAATGGAGGATAATTACATCAGATTACAAAATGGAGGCCAACCACACAATACTGGGAATCATGGCCTAGCCAAGTTGACAAATATTTTGGGGGACACAGTTCAATCCGTGACAGCTGACTTGCAATGTAAACAAATATGATGACTTGAGCTCCAGCGTGATGTCACAGGAGCCACTCATGCGTCCTTGTATCCAGCTGATACATTCCTACTCATCCTTCAAATCTCTGCGCAGGTGATACCTTCTCTGTCAGCCTCTTCCCCACCACAAATAATAAGGATGATAACGATAATAATAATGTTAACAGCAGCTAATATTTACTGGCCGCTTACTAGGAGCCATGAAAAAAGGAAAACACGTCCCACCCCTTAACTCAATTCTCACAGTAACACTGAGAAGGTGCTGGCTCCATTTTACCGATGAGGTGCTCTAACTCTGTCCCTTGGACACTGCTCTGTCCCAGCATTACGGCACACAGACAGTCACCGTGCACGCGCCTCTGTCCAGCACACTGTGACCCCTAGAGATCAAAGAACAAGCCTGTTTCGCCGCGGCGTCCCCCGTGATCCGTCTGGTCCGGGTTCAATCAGTGCGGGAGCCAAGAGAAAGGAATGAGGCTTCCGGCTTCCCGATCCTCTTGTCCGGAATCCACGCCCCCCAAAACAGCACACAGTGGCTCGAGGACCCAGGACCACTCCGCTCCGCCAAGCCCACCAGGTTTTCGCGGAGTAGAAAGGGGCGCAAGTGAATGCGTGCAAGACACCGCCGGGATCCGCCCCACGCGCGGGCCGGAGGCCGGAACCTTTCTCACCACTCCGCGGTAGGTCGGTGGAGGCCGGAACCTTTCTCTCCCCGCTGCCGTTGCTGGACGGAGGCATGGAAACGGGAAAGGTCCTCGCGCAGCCGGGCTCGCGCTGCGGTCGCCAGCTGCTGACGTGGGCGGACCCCTTGGGGGCCGTGGGTGCGGGTCGCTATGGCGGTGGACATCACACTGCTGTTCCGGGCCAGCGTCAAGACGGTGAAGACGCGGAACAAGGCGCTGGGAGTGGCGGTGGGCGGCGGGGCCGATGGCAGCCGCGACGAGCTGTTCCGCCGGAGCCCTCGGCCCAGGGGAGACTTCTCCGGCCGGGCCCGCGAAGTGGTGAGCTCGTTGCTATGGAAACAGCGGGCGGGAGGGGGGCAGATCTGCCACATGGATCCCTAGACCCCGAACCGCACCCTTTCCCGTAGGCACTGTGTCAAGGAAACGCCTGGAAAAAGTGGTCTCAAGCGGGAACAGGAGAGTTGGCTTCTGAGAGCCGACAGCTGTCTTGGGAAAGGAACACCCTTATTTTGGGGAATGGAGACGAATGTTGGGGAAATCAAGGAAGCTGGTTTCTCTTGGGCGGAAGGAGGCACTCGGCGTCCTCAGTCTGCAGAGTTCATGGGCTGCTTTGTGTGGTAATGAGTTCGCCGTCACTGCAGACTGGCACGCAGAGGAAACTCCCCCATAGTCCTTTGCTTCCCTGTGGCATCCCTGACCACACCGCAGTTGCCTCTTCTGATCCTCCTCCCTCTCATTAAGATCAAAGACTATGCCTCATTCAGCTGTCTCCTCCCCTCCCTTTGCCTCCTGCAGTAAGTAGGTAGGTTTGGGCACAAGGTAGAATTCAGTACTTCTTTTTTTTTTTTTTAAATTTATCGTGCTTTAGGTGAAAGTTTACAGAGAAAATTAATTTCTAATTAAACAATTAATACACATATTGTTTTGTGATATTGGTTGCCAATCTTCCCATGTGTGAACACTTTCTTCTTCTGGAGCTTGGGTTCCCATTTCCATTCATCCAGCTTTTCTGTCCCCTCCTGCCTTCTCGTCCTTGCCTCTGGGCTGGTGTGCCCATTTAGTCTCCTATACATGATTGAAGTAGTGTTTTATTGTTTGTCTTATAGGCCTGTCTAATCTTTGGCTGAAAGGTGAGAATTCAGTACTTCTTGGGACTGGTTTAGGATCATCTTTCACAAACACTCCATGTTCCAGTCATCCGAACTAGTTTCTGTTTGCTAAACACCACACGCTTTCCTTTATCTCTCTGAGCAGGGACCTTCTCCTTAACGGCAGCAATAGTGTTGGCTTCATCTCAGAATCCCCAATGCATGACTCATAGCATTGCTTAATAAATGTTTGTTGAGTGAATGAATGAACAGATGGTTGTCAGTCTTCTCCACTAAACAGTAAACTCTGTAAGAAGAGAGAGAATGTTTGCCTTGTTCACTTTTCTATCCTTGGCACCAAAAATGGATCTAGTTTTTGTGGGGTCTGAAGCTCATGAAGTTTTGTCTGCCCTGTTTAAAAATAAAAATATAAAATTACAGAAAAAATCAGGTTTAGAGCTTTGGAAAGTGTAAGCGAGGGGCCCTGAAGTTTAACGTTCTAATATTAACTTCACGGTAAATCCACTTTAGCTTGGCATGCAGTTCAATGCCTGGTACTCTGTAGACACTCAGGTATTTTTGAATCAATGTATGCATGCATGAACCAATGAATGGCAGTCTGTAGAGGATATTAAAACATTAGAAGAGGGATTAGACTAGATGAATACTTTTAGTCTGTTAACAAGCATCTATTAAGCGCCTGCCTTCTAACCAGCATTGTGTTAGGGTAACAAGATAGGAAAGAAGTGATGGAGGAGACAGACAGTGAACAAAATAAGTACCACAAAGCTTTGTAGGTGGTGGGATAGAAATATGTGTCAGGCACAGAGGAGAGTGTGATCAGTTCTACCTGCGGACCAGGAAAGGTTTTCGAGAGCCCATGATGCCTGGAAGAAATCTTGAAAGATCTGGTTCCTATTCAGACAGGTTGGGGAAGGGCATCTCAGGCTAAGAGAACAGTATGTGCAAAAGCGTGGAGGTAGGGAACAGCCTAACATAAGTTGGTTCAATTAGCGTTTGAGTGTGGCTGGATTTTGGGACACCCAGAAAAATTAGTCTGGAGGGGCAGGCAGGGGCGGATCTTGAAGGGCCTTGTATACCTCTCTGCTGAGTTTGAACTTTGTCCTATAGGCAGTCAGGTATTATGTGGTAGAAAGACACCTGAAAGGAGCCAGGAGACCAGGCTGTGGTCTTAACCCTGCAGTATTGGCCGCATGATGCTGCTGTTAAGCATTTTTATGACCTCAGTTTATTTACCTGTAAATGGCCGCTCATTTATGTTCTTGATAAAAGAAGACTTAAAAACTACACTGATCCCCTGTATATAACAGGTCAAGAGGGCTTCTCAGATTGAAGTGAGAGAAAGGGAAATCAAGACATTCTTCCTTCCCTTACCCCCAGTCTGGCCGAGGCCGTTCCTGGGTTCTTCTTGTGGAACTGTGGTTTGAAGATCGCTGTTTGGTTTTTGGAGGGCCCTTTCCGACTCTGAATGAGACACTGATGTTTCAGTGGTAGAATTCTTGCCTCCCTTGAGGGACACCTGGGTTTAATTCCTGGCCAATGCACCTCGTGTGCAGCCACCACCCATCTGTCAATGGAAGCTTGTCTGTTACTGTGATGCTGGATGTATTTCAGGAGAGGTTCCAGACTAAGATGGGCTAGGAAGAAAGGCCTGGTGATCTTCCAAAAATCAGCCAATGAAAAGCCCATGGATCACAATGGAACATTGTCCAGTCTGCAGCCAATCATGGGGATGGTGCAGGACTGGGCAGTGTTTCATTCCGTTGTGCATGGGGTTGCCCACAGTCGGAGCTACCTGGACGGCAGCTAAACATTCTGACTCTGAAATCACTGATACGTTAACACTGCTAATTTTGAGTCTTTCTCAGGAGTAGAGGATTTGGGAGTGGTAGGGGCAAGATTTACAGCCGCAGAAACTGTAGGGTCACTGTGAGTTGGCATCGACTTAATGGCAATGGGTTTGGTTTTTCTTTGAGGGGAAGAAGCATAGTTGGGTTGGCAAACCCTGTGGAGAGCTTGGTGATCACTCAGGCCTCAGGTCTTCCCCCGAGTGGTGAGAAATGCGCTTTAGGCCCTTGAACAGTTACAGGACCCGGGAGTGCTGAGCTCCCTGTCACTGGAGGTGTTTAACAGGATGACGGCTTATGAGAGATGTTTGAGAAGAACAGTGTGCATTTCTCAGAGGGTTATAATGCATGTCATTCAAAGTTCCAATTCTGATATTTAATGACACCACAGGGAGGTGTCAAGGCTTAGAGGTTCTGTTAAGTAGGGACAGGAGCTGTGTCATTCAGAGCCGCTGCCCCTCCTGCCGTAGGGAAAACTTGCACACTTTTGAGAATTTTGTTTTTATATTGCAGTTGCTTTTTGTGTTACCTCTTGTTCTTGCAACCATCCCTCCCGACCTCTCTCTCTCTGGCTCTCTCTCTCTTCCCCCCCGCACCTTGTGGAAAAATACAACTAGAATAGAGTGGGTGATGGGTATCCTGTGCCTTTACAACAATCAGATGTGTCAGAAGTCCAGCTGTTACTTTGTTTGGCCTGCTTCCTTGTACATCAAAGTCTGGTCAATAGTAGGAGCATATATTTTGGTTCAGGTTTAGCCCCCCCCCCCAACTAAGGAAATGTAACAAGTTACAGTAATGCCTTTTGTTAAGTGCCTTCACTGGATCATTAGTTACCCTTTTTGGATACATTTTACCTAGTTTAATTCCTGTTCTTTTGCACAAAACATAGGCCTCATGTCAGAATTCTCTCTCTGAATTGTTGCAGAGGTTTATATTAAGCTTAATAAAATTGCATTGAAACTTGATCTTGTTTTCCCACAGACTGGTTTCTTCTGCATTATTAAAAATAAATTTAACTTTTATGCTCAATTTTGCAAAATTTATATATATTGGATGCATGTCTACCCATTGCATTACAAACAGTCATGGCATTTCATACTTCTTTGGAGAAATTTATTTATTATCTGAATAACTCCAAATAATGATAAATACGTTACTTTGCAGTGGGAGCTTGATGAGTTAACTCATTTGGAATGTGTGGCTAATGAGGGTCATGGGATGGAGAAGAGAACTGGGACTCGAATTTAGAAGACTTGGATTCAAATGTGAGAACTTGGACAAGTCTTTTTAACTGAGTCTTAACTTCCATTTCTGTAAAGTGGGATGATAATTCTTTGCTTAACTCAGGCTAATTGTAAAGGCATAAGGAACCCACCCTTCCATATAGGCTGCAAACTGTATTCCCCAAACCACTTAGCTTTCTTGCACTTTCATTCCTTGCTTGTAAAAACCAAACCAAACCTGGTACCATTGAGCTGATTCCAACTGATAGCAACCCTATAGGGCAGACTAGAACCGTCCCATAGGGTTTCCTAGGCTGTGAGCTTTATGGAAGCAGACTGCCACATCTTTCTCCTGTGGAGCACCTGGTGGGTTCAAACCACTAGTTGTTCGGTTGGCAGCTGGGTGCTTTAACCACCATGCCACCAGGGCTCATTTGCTTGTAAGGGAGAACCAAGTAAGTGCATGAAACAATCAGTGAAATTCCTGTCCAGGTACCGATAGCACCTGGCAGAGCAGAAGTACTGTCTGCACTGATAAAAAACAGCAGCATTCCTGTGTCAAGGTGAAACTTTATCAGGGGTGGGAAATGATGTGGCAAGCATACAGCTATTTCTCTCTGTTCCTTTCTATGAACAGGGAAGCCAGTTTCCCAGCGAATCCTATAGCTCAGAGTCCTTTGCAACACTGTTGCCCGGGCAGCCATTACCAGTTGCTGGGATTGACCTTCGAGTTGAAATCTATTTGACATGCTACCTGACATAGAGTAAAAATAGAATCTATACACCTAATGTAGAACCATGGCCTTTTAAACTTAAAAATTCACTTAAAGGAATCTTGAGTTCATCTTGTTCAGGTTCTTCCTTTTACAGGTGAGAAAACTAAAGCCCAGGTAAGTGAAATGACTTGCCCAGAGTCATAGCAGCATAGGCCATAGGGTGGAGCCAGCTCTTTTGACCCCAGTTTTATGCTGTTTTTTGGCTTCTCTACATCCTCCTACCTTAAATTTCTGCTAATTTTTTTTTAAATCAGAAATTCTGTGGCTTTTAAATGTCAGTGAGTTTCTTCTTCTTGGGTTAATATTGAATTCATAACTGAATACTGACTGGAAATTGGGGCAGAAAGACCTGAATTTGAACAC